CACAAATATGCATAAAATCCTAAATAACAGAATCATTTACTTTTTTTTTTATAAAGAAAATATTTTATTTTGAGAAAAGTTGAAAAATGTAATGTACATATATAAATATATATACAAAAATGAAAATAAGTTATTTAAAAATATTATATTTCATGTTTTCAAAAATACTTTTTTTTGCATAATATTTATAATCATTTTATCATAATTAAAAGAATTTATATATATTATTTTATTTCTATCATGATTTTTAATATAATTAATATTAATATCTTAGTGAAACAATTTAGTTACATATATGAAAATGACTAATATTTATAAAATAAATTAATATAATATATAAAATTTGTAATCATGTATATTTTGTTTTCGATTTTAATTATTTAATGTTATTAATGTTACTAACAATTTTTTTTACACTGTTCATATTGTCAGGTGGTTTGTTTATTTAGTAAACATTATAAATTTTATAATTTACAATTTCACAAATATAATATTTGTGCAATGAACGTTTATATGAATATACATTTAATTTATTATATAATGTTCAAATTCAATTTATATTTAAAATGTTTTTTAATAGTAATTTTTAGCATAAAACTTTAGCATAAATTATTCAATAATAATTTTTAGAATTTTAATATATCTTTTAAATATAATACATAATACAAAACTTTAATATATTAAAAAAGTCATAAATTCATTCCAAATTTTTGCAAGAATAGATTACAATTTTTTTGAAATATTGATATATTTGATTACATAATTCTACATTTGAGATTTGTGCTTTACACAATCAATTTTAGAATTTTCCACGAAAATTTCCACGTCCTCGATAAGATCTTCCTCCTGAATGTTTTCTTCTGTACACATGTTTCATTAAGGGACTTGATCTACCTCTTGATAATTTTCCTCTTCCATGCCAATCACTTCCTCTTTGGAATGTGTGTTCCAATTCTAATTCCTCTGCAGAATCTTCTAATATCATTGGACTTTCACCACGACTATGATCACTTCTATTTTCATGAAATTCATCACGTTCTTCTAAAGAATGTCTATAATTAGGAGAATATCTTTCACGACCATAATGATCTTGTAAAGATTCTTTATGACTGGAGAAATTATCTCGGTTTCTTATTGGAGATCCTAATTTCATATTTCTTGAACCATGATCTAAAGAAGATACAGAATCTATACGATGTTCACGATCATCAATCCTTCTAGAAGGAGATACTGTTCTATTCCAAGTCCTTTTTTGAGAAGAATTACTTAAACTCCATCTCAAGTCATCGGCCTCACGAAATTTAGGTGTATAATCAAACATTTCACGCACATTCCAATCTAGACGATCCATAATAGGTCTTTTTTCTTCTTTAATAGCATATTGTAAATCTTGAGGATATACTTGTACTTCAAAATCTACCATAGTAACACTCGCTTGAACAAATTTCGTATTTGTCTCTATTTCATCAGTTTGACAAATTTTTTGATGCATTTGTACATTTTGCTTTATAGAAGTTAGATGTTGACCTTCTTCTTCTTCCCAATATATTTTATTTTTATTTTTTTGCAAAAGTATGGAGTTTGATGAATATATGTTTTGATCACTTCGTATATTTTCCTTCTTTGGATCATAAAAAAATCGTCCTTTCATTTTTAAACGAAGATCTTCCACAGGAAGTTCGCGTAGAGCATGTTCACAATGTTTTAATATTTCTGGATTGAATCCTATTATGAAACAAAAATAGAATTATAAAATTAATGCATTAATATTTCTGTTATTTGAAAATAAAATATTGTTGAAAATTTGTTTAATGATATTATTTTATTTAAAGATAAAAATGAAAAAGCAAAAAACTAAGTTATTTAACAAATGATTAAAATATTCTTACCTGGATATAAGACAGGTAAGCTAGTTGAATCTAAAAAATATAAAAAATGAGATATAAATTATACATTTGGAAATATAATAAACATAATATATATAACTTCAAATAATAATTAGATAAAAATATCTTCGCACCTTTTGCGGAAACAGACGCTTCCAATAGACTGGATAAACTCGTTTTTTCAAATTGCTGTAAAATTAATTCATAAGACAAATATTAATGTTTTTATATAATATTCAAAAACTAAACTGCACACTATATGAAAAGGTATACAAAAATATTATTGCTTATTAATTTCAAAATGATATTTGTGGTTTTAATAATACAGAATAAAATGGCTATATAAAAAAAGAACATTTTATTATAATATATAATAAAATTACTTTTGTATCTGAGATGACTGGTGGTTCAGGTGTCTTTAATCGTTCTTCTTGTGAAGCATGATATCCATTATAAGAATCTGTAAATCTGCGTTCCCTGTAGTTTTGAGAGATTGCATCCTTAGATTTATTTGAAAATTCGAAAGTTTGAATTGGAGATTGACGAGTAGAAGGAATGCCATGAGATGAATTATATGTTTGTACATGTTCTACTGTAGACGCAGTTGATTCATGTTGTGGTGAAGAAATTGGTGCTGGAAGAAGTGCTGGTCGATGTGTTGGTTGAATTGAACTAGTATTTGGTTGATTATACATTACTGGACCAGAAACATATTCAGTTTGAGGTAATGGATGTAACGAAACTGAATCAAAATTCATTGGTTGAGATGAATTTTCATAATTTATAAATGCTGGACCACTAGTTGTTATATTTGATGATATTGATGGTGCCAATACAGTTTGATGTATATAAGATGGCATTGACATTGATGATCTAGGCTCTGTTTCTTGTTGATATACATTATTTATTAAAGGTGATATGCCATCCATAGGTGAAGAATGTGCATATCCAGTATTCATATGTGATGTCATTATAGCTTCATTTCTTAATTGTCTTGTAAGTTCGTTAATAAAGGGGGATCGCTTTCTTCGACGTTCTAACGACCTACTTCGAGTTCGACTTCGACGACGTGGACTATATCGTCTACTAATTGGTGAGCGACTGATCTTTCTTCTAAGACGTTCCATACTGCGACTTCGTTGTCGATCACGAGATCGACTTCTTCGGCTTGACAATTTAAAGTTTATATTAAAATTTTTTATTAACTTAAAAAGTTAATAACTTTTTTATATTACAATTTAATAAAAATATGAAAATTTTTCAATCAAATTTAGATTTTATATAAATTTGTTTTACAAAGAAGATTTATATATAAGAAATATTTTTATTTCGATAATAAATCTTAAACAGTTACATGTTTAAAAATATTATCTTCTCACCGTTCATGTATATTTATACGTCTCCTGTGTCGTTCGGCACTCCATCTTCTATCTGTACTTGTTTTTCGTTCCCAACTAAGACGTCTAAGTGGACTTCTTCGGCGTTCTGGACTAAATCCAAAAGGACTTCTACGAGTACAATTAAATCTTGGACTTCTTCTTTTATCAGGACTAAATCTCAATGGACTTCGATGTCTTTCATTACTCATTTTGAGAGTACTTCTACAACGTTCTGGACTTAATAATAATGGAGATTTTCGCCGAGGAGAATTTATCCTAATTCTATCTGGAGTTCTACGTCGTAATGAACTTCCTCTTTGACGTTCTAAACTTCTACGTCGTTCTCGGCTTCTACGAATATGCATTTCTGTAATGCTTTGAATGGCTTCTGTTTCTGTACCTGGAGGTACAACATTGTCAGAGTCTAACAAATGTTTAATAGCTTTTTCCTTTTCAGCTAAGAGTTTGCTTTCAATATCTCTTTTTGTACGTATTTTATCCCTCTCTATATCTTTTGTGCTCTTAGAAGGATCACGACGAATTTCTTCATGTTTTTTTTCATCTCTCTTTGGTCTTTCACGATTATAAGATCCTTTATAATCACGCCGATATCTTTCCCTATAAGTAGGCTTATAATCATTCTTTTTTATACATTATTAATTATATAAAGGAAAAAACTTAAATTATAAAATATAAAATACATTAATTATATGATACAATATTAGTTGTTAAAATCATAACATATACAAATAAATTATAAATTGATACTACATGAAATGTTATTATAATATTTTATAATAGTTCATATTTTTATTATGTAATATTATATAACAAATTCATTTCTACAATATAATAAATAACTATAACAATATGAATTCTATTATTAAAACTACCTAGAAGGACGTTTTTGTTCTTGATCTTTGATATGGCTAGTCTTAAATTCAACATCACGACCTTTTTCTTCATCACCTTCCCAAGCATCAACAACATCTAAACCTTCCATAAAATCTTCATCGTCAAGAAATTCTTGAAGTTCCTCATCTGGTATATCCTTTAAACCTTCAATTGCACGTTGAACATCTTCATTTGTACTTTTTAATACAGGTTCTTTTTTATCAGCACTTTGTTTTGGACAAAACTGATCCATTGATTCATTTTGCACATTGTTCTTAACACTTGAATCTTTCATTTTTTTTGGTAAATCACACATGTTTCTGAAAGATTAACTTAACTATTGAATGTTAATTCAAAAAAATTCATGAAATGAATGAAATTTGACATTTCATATCTTTCACATCAAAATAAATTTACACAATAAATATTTTTAAAATCTTTTTAATTTATGATGAAATTAAGATAATATTAAATTGATTCAAAATTTATAGTCATCTTATTATTTTAATTTTTACGTTTAAAATATATGTAAGTAATTAATAAAAGCACACTTTTGGATAAAATATTCATATTACAAATATATTGAAACGAATTAACATATTATGAAACTTAAATTATTAAGTATATTTAATTTTTTTTAATCATATACTTAATACAATTATAACTATTTTTTATTATATTAAATTTTAATAAAAAATAAACGCACCTCTTAACCCTTCGATGGAATATATATTATTGATATTAACACTCTCATTACGTAAGTCGTATTATCTTTATTTAAAATCAAAATAATTTAAAAATCTATATTATATATTTCTTGATTTTGTAAATGACACTTATAATACATTCAAGTTAAAAATCGAAGTTACAGTTGTTTGCCAAGTAGACTGCTCTAATAAGTAATATACGCACTTATTATTAATAATACTTAGTACAATTAAGTACAACACAACACGAAATCTCAATGATAATTACAACGCGTACTAATAATGATATAAATGAATAACAGCTAACTTGTTTCTTCTTAAAAACTCTATTATGTAGAAATATTTGAATCCAAGAAATCCGGATCTTGAGGGATCAACATCTATCTATTCCGCCATATTAGTTACCAACAGTTTTGAGATATGGTGTAAAACAAGGGCATACTCAAATAAATTTCAATATTCTAATTAATAAAAGAATAATTTAAAATGACGTACTACTGTTAATACAAAGACTTAAATTATTTATTTTAAGTCTTTTTTTAATTGCTCTATTATATCTTTATTGTTTTATAATAATAAATATTCAAGTATTTGTTCTTTTTAAGTTTAAATTAAGAAAAAAAAAAGAAATATATACAATTTAAGTAACAAAAGCATTATCAAGAAATAATTCTAGTAAAACTTATGATTTTTTTATTTTTCTGTGTATATAAATAATTTAAAATATATAAATTTGTCATGTTTTGAATAGCTATTTAATGGAATTAATTTATTTAATTACATTTTTTTTAGTAATTACTATTAAATAATATATCATATATATTAACATAACTTAAAAATTCCGATTTTAAGAAAAACAGCTTTATATGATTTAAATCTTTATAAAAACATATAAGAATTATATAAAAACATTAAATTTATTAAAAATTTTATCAATAAAAAGTAGGAATAATAACTTTTTCTAAATCAATAACTTAAAATCTGTAAATTTTAAATTACATCATTGTTACAGCAATTACACGGGCGCGCGCGCACACTATATATATAATTTTAACATTAATAATTAATAATGAATTTATTAAACTTATAGAAAAATAATTATTTATTATATAATAAAAAGAATATATGTATTACAATTATGTTTTTCAAAATTGAAAACATTATTGTACACAATTTTATATGAAAAATATTTATAAAATATTTTATAAAATTTAATTATAATTATAATAAATGATATATTTAACAAATTGTAAATCTTTTTTTGAAAATAAAAACAAAATTAAATGCGTAAATAAAAATACTATTCATTGAAATATAATTTTATTTACATTACTATTTAATCTTATTTAGAATTAGACGATCACATATAGTTATAAGACACAAAGTTTATATAAGTTTGAATAATAATAATGAGAGGTAAATAAACAACTGGCTTTACTCTCTTATGACATAAGATTAAACAATATTAATCAATAGTGAAGAATAATTGTAAATTATGAGCATAAAGTTTTATATCTTTCTTTATCGCATTTCTTAGATCATTTTATGGAAGGAATGCAATACAGGAAGTTTTTAATGAAATTTTAAATCCACCAAATGGAAGAACTGCATTTTCTTGTCAATAATCAACTAGGCCTCTAAAAGAATAGATAATAACGAAAAATTTCTGGAATTCTTTAATATGAATATAATAAATATAATAATAATATTATTATATTATTTTATTATAATATTATTATATTATTATTATAATAAATATTGTAATATTATATTATTATTATAATAAATATAATGATATTATATTATTATAATAAATATTATAATATTATTTGCAATTTTACCGGCTATTTCTTGGACTCAAAGAACGAAGTGGTGAATCTCTGTATCTTCTACGAGATTCAGTTCTAAACTTTTCACGATCATCGCGTTTATCTCGTTCTCTGTCTCTTTCTCGTTCACGATCGTTTTCAAAATTCCTCATATCTCTTTCTTTTCTTTCTCGACGTATAATTCGCGGGCTACGACCAGGACTTGGTGTACGTGATATAGAGGAATGCGAGTCAGAACTATGACCTTCATAACGATGTCTTCGTTCTCTTTGTCTATAAATAATTAAACAATGATGACAATAGAACTAAAAGAAAAAAAATATATAAAATAAGAATAATAGCATACTTTCTACGTAACTTCAAAGACATTTCTCTAATTTCATCCTCTCTATCTTGTCTTTGCTGTTCCATTTTCTCAATTCTAAGTTGCTCTGCCTTTTTATCAGCTTTATCTAAAATGTAAATATAATCTTAATATTATATCAATATATAAATTTATTTAAAAATTCTAATGAATTTTATTTACATTGCCTATTTAATAAAGCTTGCATTTTTTTCTTAAGTCGTTCTTGAGGTGTGATTTTCAGTGACTGAAAAATTTAACTCTTAAAAGTCTGTTTTTAATCATAAAAATTTGATTAAAAATATAAAATATTTTTAAAATTTTAATATGAATTTTATGATATTTAAACATTTGTATATATGCATATATCTTATTAACATATGTTTGTACAATAATTTTAATTTCATATCATATAATAAAATTTATATTAAAATCTTAAAAAATTTATTATACAATTACATAATAAAATTAATATTAAATATATCCTATACTGCAGAATTTGTTCACGTTACTATGTCTACAAAACAAATATATCAAACCACTAAAATATTTGATGTTTTCATTCTGATAATATAATAAAAGTAAAAAAATTTTATAAAAATTATTTCTGAGAAACTTGTTACAACAAAAATTATTTTAATATCTATTACTTTAAGATAAATTGAAATTATAATATCAAATTCATAAGTAAAATAAAAATTGCATTATATTTTAAAATTATAAAATTTAAATTTTTTTTATTTTTTAACTATTAAATAAAAAAATTAAAATAAATTTTAAAATGTGAAATATCAATAATATAATTGTATCATATATATGATACAACAGAATGAAAACAAGTAGCACTTGTTAAAGTTCTTCATTGAGAGAATAATTATATAAAGAGTATATACTGTCATTTATTCTCTGTGCTTTAAGTGACTAAGTAAGCGTTATGGTTCTTACTGACTTTGTGTCCGCCACCAGAATTTGTACTTAACCCTGCTTTTGGCTTGTTCCTAAAATATAAATAAAAATTGAAAAAGTATTTAAAATTGATTTTAAAATCATAAAATAATATATATTAGTATAATATAAATTTACATGCTCGTGATATTAGTAACCGTTGGTTTTGGTGTTGGTGTAGGAATTTTTTCTTCATTATCTGATAATTCTAATTCCAAACTTGACGATTTTCCACGTCGGCCATAATATCTAAAAAAATATCATTTAAAATTATTATTAGAAAAATAAATATAATAAAGATATATGTTCAGTAAAATGTATATTATACCTTGGCAGTGCTGGCATTTTATTTTCGATACTGTGAGATCGTTTGCATCTGGATTGACTTCTTGATCTTGATCTAGATCTAGACTGAGATTTTGTTCTGGATCGAGATTTAGATACTGACTTTGATGGAGAATAATGTCTTCGACGATAACTATCTCTAGAATGACTCCTGTTATGCGATTTAGATCTTGATTTTGATCTTGATCTGGATATACTACTCGAACATGAACTTCTAGATCTTTTTGGACGTGAGTGAGATCTAGACCTTGTTTTTGACCTTGAAATAGTACGTGAGCGAGATCTAGTGAAACTTCTATATCGAGATCTGGATTCACTTCGAGTTCGTGATCGTTTTGAACGACTTCTTGTTCTTGATCGTGTACTTTTTCTATGCCTTGAACGTGTTCTTCTTGATCTAAATTAAATTTATATATAATAAATATATTTTCGAAATTAAAAAGTTCCCAATTTTAATCCTTAATTTATTTACAAAAATATTATTTATTAATGGCAAAATTTTTAAATCAATAAAAATTATACCAAAAAATGCATTTTAGAAGTATTTTAAAAATTTCAAAATATACTAATACATACATACAAATACTATATACAATTATATCAATGTATAAAATAAATAAATATATTTGTATGTATAAAATAAATAAGTATATTTTTTAAAATAAATAAAAAATTTGAATTTAAAAATTTTTTGATCAAATTTTGTATATACAAATATATTTATATATGAAAATATATGTGTAGAATAGAAAATATTTGTAAATAACTAAATAATAAAACTAAAAAAATTAAAACTAAAAGTATATATTAATTAATGAATATAATTGTATAATATTTTAATTAAGTAAATAATTATATAATAATTTTAATTATATTATATTATATTAATTATATTATATAATACAATTATATTCATTAATATATACTTTTTAAAGTCTTTAAAAAATATATAACAAAAAACAAATTATTTGCATTATTTATAAAAATATAATAATATGAATTACATAAATGTAAGATCACTATATTTTAAAAATTTTCTACAATTTCTATGTTCTGTTATTAATCCTACTATTATTTAAAAAGATTTTTATAAATCAATTATCAATGATTTTTTATAATTTATTATAATATTTGATATTTCAAATAAATTTTTATTATATGAAAATTATTAAAAATTTATATCATATATATTTAAAATTAATGTATTTTTTATTATAAAATATATATTGTAAATTTATCGAATATTAATAATTTATGAAAAAAGAAGATTTATTTTGAAAAAATTTTAGAAAATTTTTATTTTTACTTAAAATTTTTATTTTTAAAGTAATTTTTATACATCATTATACTAAAATCAATTT